CAGATGAACCCAGCACTTCATTCGTAAGAGTATGGAGAAGGTGTTTTCAAAGAGGGGGATGTTACATTTGGCGATCCGGTGCCTCAACAGTACAATGTAGTTCCACACACTCGAGCGTGAACTTCACTCGCACCCAATGGTCTACTGTGGTTCATATGCATCAGGCCGCCGCCTGTCTGACGCACACGCTCACCTTAACCTTTATTGTCGGCTGTCTTGCCTGTTTCATGTGACATGAGGTCGGATCAATATACTGTCCGGTGCAGTGAAAGTTTTTGTTCTGACGGCGCAACTGGAATTATAACAAGCAGGTCATCATGTGCGCATGACTCTTTAAGTGTAAACACGGTTAGTATGTACATGCTGCTGTTCATCAACCCCATTTCTCCCATGATTGACGTGCCGACGCATTGTGGTGCCACTGACAGCAAGGTGGGCGCAATAGAATTATGGCTACCGCCTCGATGTTTTTGGTATGACGCCTTTCCGAATGAGAATGATCCGTTGCAACGATACTGGACCTTAACGTAGTGAGACGGTTGGCGTACCTTCTTGACCCATTGAGCCATACTGGGTGGTGCCTCCGGGCCCCTTGAGAACTACTCCTACCAGGTTGGTCAATGGTGAGAGGTCAGACAAACTCAGTGTCTTAGTCTTCCAGGTTGGAGGTTCGAAATGGTATGGCGCCCATTTCTGTAAAACTAAAGCATTGCTACATTCCCGTAGTTTTGCGGACAGGTTTTTGAGCCAAAGACTTTGGATGAGGATCCTAATCGTCCTCCTGTCTAGGTCCTGGCGCCCAGGCAGTATCTCAGCGCACATACAACCATGACTATTTCTCCAAACTCTAACTACATCCAGCATCGGCCGTCGCGCAGACTATCAAGAGTCGCCTTATCTGCTGCATACAGAAGGGAGGATAAGCGAAAACATGCTACTGCTGGCGTCTCACTTCTTTCGTTTCTAAATGTTTCTCTTACTCCCATCTAGACCCCATCACTAACCTTCCTTCTATAGTTTCCAGTTTAATTGACAGCAACCGTAATGCCGCTGGAGTCGAATCATCTGCAGTAACCTTCCCGCACCACTCACTGGACACAGTCCCATTTCCCTAGTGGCGTTCAAGGTTCGCACTCTAAGACAAATAGGTCAAAAGGCTGCATTCGCAAGCAAGTTAGACACGCTGGGTATTGACGTGTGTTACGTGTCCAAAAATAGGATCAATGACTCTCACGGGGTTGTGAATTAACTACATCCGGCTTGTGCTCTCGTTATTGGTTGCACGCATCTGGAGACGCCGATGCATTACTCACTGGACAAGCTGGGGTAAGTATCATTCTCGGCTCCAAGACTGAGCCATCGCCGGTTGATTGAATCCCGGTGAGCAGCCGTTTATGTGCAACCCGTTTGACGACATCAACTAAGGTTGATTCATGAAGTAGCGCAAGACGGTGTTTGTTTGTGATCTCCGCTTATGCTCCCACCGGCTGTAGTTCTGAGGCTGCCACGGATACATTCTATCACGAACTGAACGCGATACTAGGCAGTGCTAATAGTTCAGACATGAACACACAAGCACAGAAGCTCAACTAGGTGGTAATGATGGGCATAACTCCGAACGGGCTGACAACGGCTAGCGTCCAGTTGCGGAGCCCCAGCAGATTCTTAGTAGCACTGCTTTTAAACACAGTGGGAACCGAAGTGCCACTTGGTTTCTCCTGTAGCTGGCCAGCAATGGACCCAAATTGACCACATAGCCATAAGTTACAGATGGCGTGGTTCCATCCCAGATTGCCGCTCCTTCTGGAATACCTGCGTCGACTGTGATCATGACTTCGTACGCTGCCGTTTCTCCATGAAGTTGACCGAGAGGTGCACCAAGCATCTCCCATGATTGGTAACTGGTAAAATACCCAAGCCCTTGATCAAGCAAGCCCACAAGCAGCACTGCGTACCGAACTTTCGCTCTATTGTCCTAGTGAGACCGAACATTAATGGAATAGGATCTCAACTGCCATGCACAAGGCAGGAGCATCCGCTTGTGATACTGTCAATCATCACCGCACCAGTCACTGGATATCCGAGAGGTCGGTGAACCTGTTGGAATCGAGAAGACACCTCCCGGCTGGTTCTGAACACAATGTGACCAGACGGGCTATTAGGTGCGAACTAAAGCGGAGCCTGCGTGCTGACAAGGAAGCCTGGTGGACCACTCGGGCTCAAGAAATGGAGGAGGCAGGAGCAGTAGGCAATTACCGCAAGCTCTTTCGGCTGATCCGAAACACTGGTCCCAGGAAACCAGGCGTCAGTGAGGCAATCAGAGACAGCGCGGGTGCACTGATACACAATAAGGAACACTTTCATGATCAGCTCAGCTGGACTGCTCTTCCCGGACATCTTCTTACTCATGTGATGCAGGACGAGTCATGGACGGTTAGTTTAGAGCCTCTCTCGGACAAATAAGTCCGAAACGCGATCACACCTCTCAATCGTTATCGTGATGCTCGCTCGGCTAACTGGAGTGAATCGATTATAGTGGCAATATACAAGAAGGGCAGTCGCACAGACTGTTCTAACCACAGGGGTATTAGCCTAACGCCAGTTGTGACAAAATTACTGGCATCGATCCTCGATCGTCGCCTCATTGTGAAACGGGAATCTCAGATTAGGGAACAGTAGGCCGGTCTCCGCTCAGGAAGGGGGCTGTATAGACCGTATATTCACCCGGCCGTAGGTGCTAGAGCAGTGCCACGCATACCACAGACCGACAATAGCTGTGTTCCTCGATTTCAAGCGTGCGCTCGATTCAATCGATCGCATGCTTCTGTTCGAAATACTTGCGTGGAATGGTGTTCCCACGAAATATGTGAACATCCTTCGTGCTCTATACTCGAACATTACAGGCCGCGTCAGGGTCTACGGTGGCCTATCGGATAACTTTCCGACCACAAGTGGCGTTCGTCAGGGTTGTCCGATTTCCCCGTTTTTGTTCAATTTCGTCGTGGACTGTATCATGGAGTGTTCCCTTGCGGAATCTCACGATGTAGACATTGAAGTGCTGCCTGGTGAAAGATGAGTTGATCTTGATTATGCGAATGATATCGTCTTACTTTCCGACGATGTCGCGGTGGCACAATCTACCCTGAATAGTCTGTCCAGAGGGGTCCCATTATTTGGTATGCACTTCGCACCTTCAAAGTGCAAAGTGTTGCTGCAGGACCACCAGCCACTTTATGACCCCTTGACCCTTGCTAACGAGGAACTCGAGGTGGTTGATCAATTCACTTACCGTGGCAGCTGCATCAGCAACAATGGGTGCATAGAAACTGACGTCAGCTCACGCATTGCAAAGGCCAGAGCTGCCTTCATGGACCTGCGGTATCATTGGAGACAGAAGGGAGTTTCCCTCTGTATGAAATGCCGTGTATGCAAGGTCACAGTGAGGGCCGTCCTGCTCTATGGGAGCGAGACTTGGCCCCTTTGGTCTGAAGATTTGGAGCGCCATCAAGTCTTTGATCATTGTTACCAGCGAAGCAATGCTGGTGTCGGATGGCACCAGGATGTCCGCAACGATTATACACATAAGCGAGTACTAGGCAGTGATTAGCAGGCTAGTTCCTTAGAACAACAGATAGCACTGAATAAGTTACGTTGGCCTGGGCACGTACTACATTTTCCCGGTCACTGCTTAACTAGGAGGGCCTTGTTTAATCTGAACGTGTAGGATGGTGCAAGCCTCGAGGTGGACAGAAGTTGACTTGGCAGCGGGAAATGAAGCCACTGACGACCAAACACGGTGCTATCGGTCTGTCTGGCTTTCCGAGCTGGGGTCCATGTGACCCGTCATGTGTTTGGCTAAAGACATACAGGACATGACTTGCAGTCGACAGCAGTGGCGCGTCTGCTGCCGTCTCCTAATCGGGTTGTCTGTTGAAAGTGTGTTTGGTGCTGAGTTATCTGCGGGGTAATGACTGATTATGACGCGGGGTAGTGAAAGCCGCAAGGAAGTTGTCTCGCTGATGCCGCCTTATGTTTGCACGATAACCAGCTGTTTGTGACGGAATGTTGTCTACACAAGGTGTAGGCGCCTTGACCCTGAATGTTTGCATAGGGTATTATGGTTTTCAGGTAAGTCCCCTTTCTCTCTTATTATTCTTTATTTCATAGGTCATCATGGTTGTATGGCAGCGAAGTGTCTGTTTAAAGGGCTGATGTATTGCTGTTGTTGATTGATTGATTGATTGATAATGATGATAACCAGCAAGTTAATGTCAGCTAAATGCACCAAGAGTGTGAAAGAAAGCATCCAGCGCAAGCACCAGAGATGTAACGGGATAAGATGGTGCAAGAGGCTTAGTTCGCTTCAACAATGCGAATGCAAGTGGGACATATTTGCAAGTGGTCAACATCTCAGATGCACTACCGTGTTTTGAGAGACAATGGCAGCATGGTAGTAAATCTACCTCGAACGGCATGGTTGATGCACCTTCTGATAGTCGAAACTCAACTACAAACACTTCAATAATTAGTCAATGCAATTTTGCAAAAGGTTTGTTGCGACACGTAATAAATAACGTATTTCATGACAACTTGTGGTAGCTGAGAGTCAGTAACCAACGCAGGTAGCACGGAGGAGGAGCCACGAGACGATATTATTTCAAACGTCGTAGAATATAGAAAACCACAGTGTTACAGTGAGTAGAAACAGTTAATGGGTTCGTGACAATTCTTAAAATAAGTACCAACTAATCATGACATGCTTAGTGTGGTGTAGAAAAGGAACCACCAAAGTGAATATGAGAATGGGCTACTTGTTCGCATGACTCCTATTGGATACAACGCTAAAACGTTGTCCAAGAATTAACTTTAAAGTCATAATGGAAAACGGACTATAAGAAGTGGAAACTGGGATAAGAAAACTGGCAAAAAAAATCATGGCTGTGGCACAAATGCCAGTAGAAGAACATACAGAAATGTCGTCGGTCAAACTGATAACTAACCCCATTCTTTCGTTTGTGTAAGCACTTGGGCCATGGTCCAACGGATACCGCTAAGGAATGAGGCAAGCAGAACCAGAGAGAACCCGATCCCATTGAACTGGGCCGATTCGTAGGAGAAAAGAAACAGCCCGCACGATATTAGTAGCACAACCAATAACAAAGAGAATCGCTGTGAAAGAGGGACATAATGCGAGAGAAAATAACGCACTCACCCGTCGTTCCAGTCGAAAAAGGACGGAGAACAGAAGAATAAAGATGATGCTGGTAGACTTGGTCATGGTATACCTAAAAATAAGTAAGAAGTGAAAGAAAAACTCACAAGGAGATTGTGATAAACTCAAAGCTCCAATTAGAAAATCCGATATCCAGGGCGCTGGAAATGCCTGTTAGAACGTGTGTGTAGAACACTTTGAGAAATAAAAAGTGGATTACGTACGAATGGTACAGCACAGACAACACCGAACCTACTGATCACAGGCCCAAGTAAACAAGAAATATGGAAAGACGTGGAGAACACATGGAATGAGCAGAAAATAGAGAAGCAGTCGCAGTGAAGGCTTGGGTGACTGCAAAGTGCAATGGCGAGAAGATCAGAACAAATGGAATAAGAGTGCTGTTGGCTAATTCCCATGCAAAGCCAAGTAAACAAATGGATTCTACATCTCTAAATCGAAAGTGAAACCAGCCGAATGCCATATATCAACAAAAGTGGTACAACACTAGTCTGTGCCAATACCACTACACCATACGGCCATGGCAACCCTATTAGTCAAGTCAAGTCAATCAAGGTAAACTTTATGTACCCAAATAAGCGCATTTTCAGCATTTTACAGTATCAACTGTGGGTTAAGTAAAATGACATCTTGAAAAATGCAAAATTTGATAAATGTATACAGAAAAGGGAAAGGGGCGCATTTGTGTCACTCGAGTAAAAAGACCCGCGTTCTTGAGCACTGAGAACATATAGATAGACAGAAGCTTCGTGTTATTTTCCAGCCGACAAAGAATAGTTTTTGAGGTCAGTTCTTCTAAGTTGTTTTCAACTGGCCAAAAGTTTGTAGCCAAAGCCAACAGACCGCGAACAGTGCGCGGTGCCTGGCCTTCGCATTCAAAATACCGGTTTTGTTGACCTTAAAAGTATTTTGGACAAAAACCCTACGAAAGTATTCTTATAAAATTTAATACATCAGCAGTAGATAAAGCAAAAATGACGTTCAATGAAAAGGAAACGACAAATTTAAAGGCCCCACCAGTTTAGAAGGAGGCACTAGCAAAAGGGAAGCAAGATCAGGTGTACAGATCACATAGACTATGCAGACACTCACATATCCGGACAATAGCGCGCAGTCGATAAACAGATGACCAGAAGGTCAAGATAAGGTAGCGTTGGGGAGACAGCACCTTCGCGGTTTTCCCTACAATGCATCATGGTCAAGCTCGTCCAACAGATAACATAGTACTAATTTAGGTGTGCACTTCCGCAATGAGGTGGTAGCAGACGCGCTACTTGTGCCGAATAAGAACTATGTCCCGTAATGACTCAAACTAACCAAAAGCTGAGTCGCACGGATGCTACCAAACGAGAGACGGGCGGTGAGATGGATGAAGAACACCATATCTAGTAGTCAGCGGCTTTGTTCTCCGACAGAAGTCACTATCTGCAATCGGGTAGTATCAGGCCCACAGACAAACCAAGAGTGGACTATACTACCGTTCTCACTCTTGCTATGTCTACCTACTCTACTGTCCCTACTGCTGCCTCTCCACTCACAGATAGTCCCACGTCCCATTATTCAACTACACTTATGTTCTCTCAGGTCACCGCCAACAGTAGCTCACTGGTCGCACCTGACGGAAGTCAGAGTCAAAATCTTGGTGTTCGATGCTCCGCGACCAGTCTTTGCACACATCACAGAAGCCTCAGTTTTTCTTCGACCAGGTCCTCCATTCGACCTCGTAGACTTCAATGTTCGCACTCTGATGCAGATCGGACGATAAGGATGTCTGAATCGCACTCTTGAGACGCTTTCGGCTGACATCTGTTGCCTCACAGAAACTAGATTGCAGGACTCCACTACCACTTCACTACCTCTCCGGCAAACCCTGACGTCATATACCATTCGCGCCTTTCCGGAGACCCAGACATTGCCGCTTCTGGTCAGGCTGGTGTTGGAGTTGCTCTGAGTGAAAAGACTGAGTCCGCTCTGCTTGACTGGATCTCAGTCAATAGTCGGCTTTGTGCAGTCAGACTGTAGCGTAGGTACAATTGTAAGGATAGAATTGTACAAGGTTCATGTAAGTAAGCGTCGAGATGTTACAAGCGCCCTATTTGTCGTCTCCATCTAAGCTCCTACAAACTGCAGTCCGGATGCAGTCAAAGATTGCTTTTAGCAACAACTACATGACCTTCTGGGGATGGTTTTGGCTTCGGTAACAATCGGTCAAATAATGCAGACAGATTACTGACTCATTTTTTGATCATCGCTTGTTTCTTTCGAGCACGTTTGCGACAGTGGAAATGACAGACTGCTCCCTGGCGCCCGCCTTCTCAAACGCAAGTGACCCCAGCTTGGCCACATAGTGATAAGCTACAGATGGAACAGAAGCGTACCTGAGTGCTGTTCGTACTGTTCAACTTGTCTAGACTCCGATCACTCAGTGATGCGCGCTAAGTTATGCATGCGTTTCAGAGGATCGCCTAGGCGCACGCACTACCGACCGAGCGTAGAAAACCTACAAGGCCCTATGACGTTAGCCGAATATTAGGCCTCCCTATCAACAATGCTTACTCCAGCTTCTGATGATGATCTGGATTCACAGTGGATGCAAAAAAGCTTTAGTTTATGGCAGCATTGATAGTTGCGGAGTTGCCCATCACCCGCCAAAGGCTGGATCACTGTTGTCTCCTTGTCGCTGATGAACAGAAGCCGCCCGGTCCAGGCCGATGCCAGCTGTAGTGAAGAACGCCGATCCATAGATCGAGAATTACGCAGGAGTCTACAAAAGGCCCGTGAAATTTGGTGGTGCGAACGCGTTAGAGAGATGGAACTCGCTAGCCTTGCTGGTAATACCAGAAGGCTTTACCACTTTATTCGAGTCACCGAGGGTTTCCGATCTGGTGTAAGTGAAACAATCTGCGAAGAGAATGGTCTACTAATCACTAATCTTCAACGACGGTTGGAACGATGGGATGAACATTTTGGCTCGCAGTTTTGCTGACCGCCAGCTCTAACTACTTCCCCTGGAGCACTCGCTGGGTACTGAGTGGTCAGTTCCCACAGATCCTCCGTCTCACTAAGAAATCGTGGATGAACTCCGCCTTTTGAAGCGCTATAAAAAACCCGGCTCTGACGGCTTACCTCCCGCCCTATTTAAAGATAGTGACTATTCGATGGATCGAGAACTACTGCTTTGTTTTCAGAAGTCTGGTTGAAAGAGGTTCCATGTTCTTGGGGTGAATCGATAGTCGTCCCCATCCTCAAAAAGGGCCTGCACACAATGCGGTCCAACTACAGGAGTATCATCTTGTTTCCTGCCGTTTGCAAGGTTCTGGTGTCCAGACTATTTCTAAGGTTATCGTTAACACGCGAATCACTACAGCGGGAAGAACAAGCTGGGTTCCGCCCTGACCGCGGCTGCATCGATCAAGTTTCACATTCCGCCAGATTCTCGAGCTCCGCCATGTGCAATAAAAGCCGACAACTGTTGTGTACCTGGATATCCGTGCTGCCTTCGATTCTGTCGACAGGATTGCATTGTGGCACTGTCTGTTGGGGAATGGCGTCCCAGAGAAGTTCGTTTCCGTACTGCATGCTATGTACAGTCTGACTTAATGTAGAGTTAGTGTAAAACGTGCGGCCCTCCGGCAGAAAGAACAACAGGTGGCAGCGACACGAAAATCTTTATTGGCGAGAATTGCTTTCTTTTTATATCAGATATGACCATTTTCTGCGCCCGTTTCTATTCGGCTACTACACTTTCATGCATTTGTCTCCATTTGCCAGTGTCCTTTGATCCTGGGCGTTTCGCCTCCAATCGTTCGGTCGTAATTCGTCCATGGCATTTGCTACAATTGGTTCCCCATGCTGTGTCTTGACGATCAAAAACCAATCGGCCGATGGGTTTCGGTTCAGTGCCTGCTCTTTCTGGCCTATGGACGGTCGTTCGCGTACCGGATTGACGTGACGCTGATTGGTCAGGCATCTGATGCAAGTCCTCGATCCCCTTAACGTCGCTTACTCGTTTGCGAGCCGTCTCGGGTTTTGATTGGATATTCGGACCACGCTTGTTTGCCAGACGCTTTGCCGAGCCGTTGGTCTGTTCGTCCGATCGGTAGCTTGTGTGCGCCACTGGTTGGCGGTGCCGCGAACTGATTGCGATCTCCGATTGTGTTGCCGATTGGTGGAAACCAGTTCGCGCTGTTGGCTGGCGGTTTGGCACGTAAGCTACCATCACATCCTTCCTTTTTTTCGTTTTTTTGTAGTCCGATTGCGTAAGCGCTGTATCGCCTTCCACTGCGTGTAGTCTTGTGGTCGTGTGCTGCCGTATCCACCGAAATGTCCGGCTGCGTTGGCTGCTTCGCACGATGCCGTGCTTGTTCACCACGTTGTCTCCTTAACTGCACCCGGTTGCGTCGAAATAGACTATCCCCAACTCTTACGTCGTAGCTTCGTTCGCCTTTGAGACCTTCTACTCGCCCTCTCCTCCAAGACCCGTTAGCTCCCGGTGTCGGCGCGACCCAGACCTCGTCTCCGGGCAACAGGCGTGAAAGCTGCTTCGTTCCGCGATCGTAATATTTCTTTTGTCGAAGCATGCGCTCACGCAAGCGCTCATACATCAAGCTCTGCGATGGTATTTCAGGCTGCAGCAGAGTATTGGCGATCGGCAACAGGGTTCTTGTCCTACGGCCAAACAGACGTTGCGCTGGACTGCATCCAATTTCGGCAGATGGCATGTTCCTTCGTTCTAACAACATGATGTAAGGATCTTCTTTGGTCTCCTTGGCTTTGGTGAGTAACTTCTTTGCTTCCTTCACGGCTGACTCAGCTTTTCCATTTGACTGACTGTGGTAAGGGCTGGTTAAACGATGAAGGAAATCCCACTTTTCGCTGAAACTCCGAAATTCGGCGCTGTTGAATTGGGGGCCATTGTCGGACACTACCTCTTCCGGTATCCCATGTCGCGCAAACTGCGATCGTAGCTTGTTTATCACGGCCTGTGTGCTAGTAGACGTGAGAGCATCAATCTCGAAATAGTCGCTAAAGTAATCGACAGCGATCAGGTAATTCTTTCCGTCATGTGCAAAGATGTCTAGGGCGACTTTCTGCCACGGCCTTTCCGGGACCTCACGAAGCATCATAGGCTCCTTCGGCTGGCGGACATC